GCAGTAGCCAGAAACTGCAGTCGGAGGACAGAGACACAACATCAATAAGGGTACCTGATCTCAAAACAGGTGAAGTGGGGACCAAATGGAGGCCCAAACTTTACCTGTATGATGACCACTTATGTATCTAACCCTGAATTGTACCCCACATCTTAAAAAAAAAAGAAAATGGTCAGCAAGAGATAGGCTGCTAGCAAGACAGAAGTCACAGTCTTTTTTTTTACTTTTTTTGAGTTGGAGTCTCACTCTATCACCCAAGCTGGAGTGCAGTGGCACACTCATGGCCACCCCAGTGTTGCTGGGCTCCAGCGATCCTTCCACCTCAGTCTTCCAAGTAGTCAGAACTACAGGTGTACGCTACCACGCCCGGCTAATTTTTGGTTTATCGTAGAGATGAGGCCTCGCCAAGTTGCCCAGGCTGGTCTTGAACCTACGGGCTCAGGCAGTCCACTCGCCTTGGCCTCCCAAAGTGCTGGGATTACAGGCTGAGCTACCGAGCCTGGCCATCGGAGTCTTTTATAGGCTCATTATGGGCTGGACACGTTGGCTCACTCCTGTAATCCCAGCACTTTGAGAGGCTGAGATGGGAGGATCACTTGAAGCCAGGAGTTGGAGACTAGCCTGGGCAACATAGTAAGATCTAGTCTCTACAAAAAAAAAAAAAAAAAAAGAAGCGTTCACAATGGCTAAGAAATTCACGATCCAGTTGACAAATGGCCAAATTAATGAAACTCACAATGCAAAGTGTTGACCAAGGCCTAGAGAGACAGGAGCTCTCGCCCTGGGGTGGAAGGGTAAACTGGTACCACCGCTTTGGCTGTGTCAGCTAGACTGCACGTAGACCGTCCCTAGGACCCCGTATTCCCATGCTGGGCCACTTACCGGACAGGAACCAGCATGGATTCATTGAACGGTGTAGCTGGCTCAGTGGTCAACCCAAATGTCCTTCAGCAGGTGAAGGGGTGAGCAGACTGCGGGTACACTGAGACTCAGAACGCCGGGTGCGTGTCCCAGGCAGCACTGGGCTACATAAGTCAAACACAGAAGCAGACTCATCTGGGGAACAGACAGAGCAAATGGTGGGGTATACCAGGCAGCGCAGCTGGCCTCTGCAGCTTTGCTTTTGTTTTTAGAGCCAGAGTCTCGCTCTGCCACTGAGGCTGGAATGCAGCAGCGTGATCACAGCTCAAGCAGCCTCCAACACCTGGCCTCAAGCAGTCCTCCTGCCTCAGTCTCCAAAGCACGGGGAATTACAGGCGTGAGCCACCATGCCTGGCCCCTCTGGGAACCAGTGAGATTCCCACTGCAAAGACGGGGAAACTGAGATGTAAAGAGAGATTTCACCACGGCTTGGGTCACTGGTGTCTGCGCAAGGGAGCTGGGCCGTATCTTGGTCCCAAGCCCTGCGACGCCTCCCTCTCTGCACCTGCAAACAGGCAGGACAGGAAGAAGGCCACTTCCAGCACTGAGGGCTGTGGCTGCCGTGACCAAGACGCCAAGGCCCGGCTTGGAGGTGGGGTGGGCTCCAGAGACTCTGTGCCCCTTGCGTGACGCTGTCCCCAGTAGGGTTGGGCTCAGAGGGCTGTGGCTCGGCGGGGAGAGCGGCCCTGCTGAGCTGGGCCGGCTCCGCCCAAGGCCCCGGTCACACAGGGACGCCCTGAAAAGTGATCTGGGCCTGGCTTCGGGGCCGCTGGGCCGGGAGCAAAGAGGACAAACGGGCTTGGCTTCCCTGCCAGGTCGGGTTCTGCGGTGGCGCCAGGGCAGCCTGAGCAGGGGCGGCAGGCAGACGTCTGGCTTTTCCCAGGCAGGTGATGAGCCCCGGGAAGGGGACATTCGCACCGTCTCCCCAGCTCCCCCAGGACAGTTCGCAGTCACCCCCTCAGATGCCCCAGACTGCCTCCCTGACGAAACTCGAGGCAATGCTTAGCTCTCTTCTGGTTTTGGTGTTTATTTATTTTCATTTTTTGAGTTGGAGTCTCACTCTGTCGCCCAGACTGGAATGCAGTGGCCGCTCCCGGCCACCGCAGCCTTGACCTGCTGGGCTCCGGCGATCCTTCCGCCTCAGCCTTCCGAGTCGCCGGAATTACAGGCACGCGCTACCACGCCCGGCTGATTTTTTGATTTATTGTAGAGATGAGGTCTCGCTGCCCAGGCAGGTCTCGAACCCGCGGGCTCAGGCCATCCACTCACCTAAGCCTCCCAAAGGCGCGGGATTACAGGCTGAGCCACCGAGCCTGACTGGTGTTTGTTTTTAAAATTGGTTTTATGATGAACATTTTAATAAAAAGCCAGGGTCTCGCTCTGGGGCCTAAGCTGGAGGGCAGTGGCAGGATCACAGCTCACGGCAGCCCCGACCTCCTGGGCTCGAGGGATCCTCCCACCTCAGTCTCTCTGAGTGCTGGGATGGCAGGCATGAGCTGCTGTGCCTGACCTTTTTTTTTCAATTTTGATTTTTTAAGAGACGGAATCTGGCCAGGCATGGTGGCTCACACCTGTCATCCCAGCACTTTGGGGGGCAGAGGCAAGAGGTTGCCTGAGCCCGGGGGTTCAAGACCAGCCTGAGCAACTTGGCAAGACTTCATCTCTACAGTAGATCAAAAAATTAACCAGGCATGGTAGCGTGTGCCTGTGGTTTTGGCTATTTGGAAGGCTGAGGTGGGGGGATCGCCTGAGCCCAAGGGTTTGAGGCTGTGGTGGCCGTGAGGGTGCCACTGCACTCCAGCCTGGGCGACAGAGTGAGACTGACCAAAAAATAGGGGGGGGGTCTTGCTCTGCCACCCAGGCTGGAGTGCAGTGACTGGATCAGAGCTCACTGCAGCCTCAACCTCCTGGCCTCAAGTGATCCTCCCACCTCAGCTTCCCACGTAGCTGGGGCTACAGGCACCAACACACGGCTGATTTTTTTGTTGTAGAGATGTCTTGCTAAGTTGCCCAGGCTGTGTGCTCTCTTCTGGACTGGGCCTTGACCTTGGCCCCGGTCCTGTCTTAGCAAGTATCCCCCTACCCTTGGTGGCCTCAGTTAGTAATTTTCCATCCACGGACCCCCGACCTCCCTCATTGGCTATAAACCCCCCTTGACCTTGTCATGTTCAGACTTGCACCAAGTTTTCCATTTTAACAACGGTCACGATATTTGTACTATTTTTAATTTTGAGACAAGGTCTGTCACTGAGGCTTGAGTGCAATGGCATAATCATGGCCACCACAAAATGGAGCTCCTGGGCTCAGGTGATCCTCTCTCCTTAGCCTCCCAAGTAGCTAGACTACAGGCGCCACCAGACCTGGCTAATTTTTTGTGTTGAAGTTTTGTAGAGACAAGGTCTCACTATGTTGCCCAGGCTGGTTTCGGATTCCTGGGTTCAAGTAATCCTCCCACTTTGGCCTCCTGAAGTGCTGGGATGACAGGTGTGAGCCACTGTGCCTTTTTTTTTTTTTTGCATTTTTGTTGGCAGATTTGCTGTTGACAACGGCCCCAGCTGCAGAGCGAGGTGCCCTCTAGCGTCCCGAGCACAGAAGGCTGGCTGTGCCTCCGGGAGGAAGCCCGGGCTGGAGCAACTTGGCTCAGGCTGGCCAGGCTTGGGGGCCGAGTTCCATGTGACCGCATGTGTAATATCTAGTCGACAAGGCATCTCTATTTATTTATTTATTTTTAGACGCTCCTAATACATCTTTTTTATTTTAAAATTGTGGGGTACAGTTAAGGGTTAGGTGTGCAAATATGCATTGTGTAGGTACCCTTGTTTATGAGGTGTGCCCCCCAAGGAGGCATCTTGTTTTTGTTTTTGTTTTGAGTTGGAGTCTCACTCTGTCGCCCAGACTGGAGTACAGTGGCCGCTCCTGGCCATCGCAGCCTCGACCTGCTGGATTCCGGTGATCCTTCCACCTCAGCCTTCCGAGTAGCCGGAATTACAGGCGTGCGCTACCACGCCTGGCTGATTTTTTAATTTATTGTGGAGATGAGGTCTCGCCAAGTTGCCCAGGTGGGTCTTGAACCCGCGAGCTCAGGCAATCCACTCACCTCAGCCTCCCAAAGTGCTGGGATTACAGGCTGAGCCACTGAGCCTGGCCAAGGAGGCATCTTTAAACAGAACACACTATGGTCGTGTCTGCATCTGACTAGGGACAATGTGACCCAAGACCCACGGGAACACAACCTGTACCCTCAGAGCAATGGTCCAGCGTCTGCGAATTCCTTTTTTTGTTTTGAGTCAGAGTCTCCATCTGTGGCCCAGGCTGGAGGACAGCGGCACGCTCACAGTCACTGCAGCCTCCACCTGCTGGGCTCAAGGGATCCTCTGCCTCAGTCTGCCAGTAGCTGAAACTACGGGCACGTGCCACCACACCCGACTAACTTTTTGATTCATTGTAGAGACAAGGTCTCGCCAAGGTTCCCAAGCTGGTGTTGAACCCTGGGCTCAGGCAATCCTCCTGCCTCAGTCTCCCAAAGTGCTGGGGTTACAGGCATGAGCCACTGTGCTGGGCCTCAAATTCAGTTTTCACAGCAACTTTACAGAACGAGTGTGACCAATGGGGACAGACCATGTGTCTGGCACCTGCCACACGACCACATGACACAGCAGAGGAACAGGACCTGCAGGACAGGCTGCTGGCTAAGACAGCAGGTTCTGAGCTCAAGGTCCAGCTGGGACCTCAGCACCTGTGCCTCAGTTTCCCTGGCTGTCAAGCAGCAACAAAACCTGTGCTTCCTGGGACTGTGGAACGACTCCACCGTGCACCGGCGCGTCGGGTGCTGGGGCCGGACTCTCGAGACGCAGACAGCAGCCGGTGCTACCTTCCGCCGCGATCGTGCTGGAGGGCCACGGCCAAGGACGGGCTTCGCCGGCGCCAGGATGGGGGCTCCCTCACCCCCAGGCCTCGGTCTCCCGTTCCGCAGGATGGACCCCCAGAGTGCCGCCTCCCCCAGGACCCCCTCCTCCTGCCTGCTTGGTGCACGCTGGCCGTGGGCTCCCGTGCCCCCGGATCCGGGACCAGGACTCCAGTGGGAACAGGTAGTGTTTATTACAGGAGCCCGGCAGCACCGGGCACGGAGGGTTTGACACACATGACCTGAAGGCACTGGTTTCCGCCCAGCCCCACCCTCAGGGCCCGCCAAGGGCCGCCACCGCGCAGGCGGCTCTCCTGTGGCGGGGGCTCCCGGCGTGGGGTGCGGTGGGGCCAGGCTGGGGACTCCCCCGGGCGAGGGGCTAGGAGACACTGGGGGGCAGGCGGGCGGCCGCTGTCTTCTCCACCACGAAGCCGTAGTTGTACTGGGAGGGGGCAGTGAGCGAGAGAAGCCGTGGAGGAAACGGGTGACGGAGAAGGGAGCTCCCAGGGACTGGGTGATCTCGATCCCTGGGGAGCGGGGTGTGCTGGGGGCAGAAGGGGCCCAGGGGAGATCGGGGCCACCCAGGGGGGCACCCGCATCCTTGGGCCCCCAGCCCTGCACCCACCTCCTCCTCAATGTCTGCCAGAGACTTGATGGTCAGGTCCCCGAAGGCAGAATAGGCCTGGCGGGCAGGGGAGCGTCAGCCATGGTGGCAGCCGGGAGCCCCACTCTCTTGACTCCCAGAAGCCCCTGGCACTTGCCCAGACTCCCCGCCCCTCACAGCCGCCGGCCGAGGCAGCCCTCCCCTCCCACTCCGCCCTCCTGGAACCGGAGGCCTCGCAGTGACTGCCCAGGGCGATGCCCAGCCTCCCGACGGACCCGCCCTCGTGCGGGGGCGCCGGGTGTGGGGCATCCTGGCCACTAGGGGGCGACAGCGGAGCCAGACCCTGGCCCCCTGGACCCCACCGACTCACCAGAGGCCCACAGCCCTTGCCCTCGAATCGGGGGTGCAGTGTGAAGGGAACCCCATCCATGGCTGGAGAAACACACAGGAGGAAGCGAGGGGGCTCAGGCCACGGCCGCACACACCCGGTGGCTGCCCCTTCCCGTTTCCACGGAGCTGAGTCGGGCGTGGGGCAGGGGACGGGGGCACCTTCCAGGCTGCTAACCGCCGGCTGGAGCACCCCTGCCTCCAGGCCTCGGTTTCCCCAGGCTGCTCACCCGAGATGCCGTAGAGGCTGGAGGCCTCGTAGATGGAGTCGTTCCTCCGCAGGGTGGATGCCCGGGAGCCCAGTCGTGACAACGTCCGCTCTGGGAAGCTGCCCTTGCTGGGGGAGGGCCCGGGTCAGGCCCGGGCCTCCCCCACGGCTGCCCCACCTCGCACCCCAAGGCTCACCTGGGCAGCCCGGGCGGGTCCAGGGAGAGGCTGCGCATGTCCCTGCTGAGCCCTCGGGGCTTGGGCACTGGCCGTGGTGCCTTGGCCTTCTTGCACCAGATGGCAAAGCCGCCCATGTCCCTGGCGGAGGGAGACGGGAGGGTCTGGCCCAGGGTGGCAGGGCAGAGCTGTGCCGGGGAGGCGGGGCCCGGGCACTGCTGCCTCTCGGGGCATTCGTTTCGGCATCTCAACCCCCACCCACGGTGACACGCTACCGCGCCGGGTGCTAATCGCTGCTCCATGGAACTTTTTTCTAGAGATGGAGTTTGGTTCTGTGGCACAGGCAAGAGTACAACGGCACGGTCGTGGCTCGCTGCAGCCTCAACCGCCTGGGCTTCCGTGGTCCTGGGCCTCTGCCCCCAATAGCTGGAACCATAGGCGCCACTATGCCCGGCTGATTTTGTGCTACTTTTTGTAGAGACGAGGACTCGCTATGTTGCCCAGGTTGGTCTTGAATTCCTGGGTTCAAGCAGTCCTCTTCCCTCAGACTCCTGAGTAGCTGGGACTACGGGGGCATGCCACCATGGTGACTAATTTCTTAACTTTTTTGTAGAGATGGGATCTTGCCATGTTGCCCAGGCTGGTCCCAAGCTCCTGGGCTCGAGCCATCCTCCTGCCTTGGCCTTCTGAGTAGCTGGGGCTGCAGGCCTGAGGCCCACGCCCGGCTGCTCTGTGTATCGAGACATCACTCACTGACGCTTTGCCAGCGTCCTACAAGGTGGTGCGCCAGCCCCCATTGTAACATGCAGAATCTAAGGCAGCACAAGAGGCAGGAGGCCACAGGAGAGTCACTCACAGATCGGGAGTCGGGCACAGGGAAGGCCGGAGGCTGGCGCAGGCCCTACCCCACTCGCAGGTATCCTGGCACCGTCTTGGTCTTCCCGCTCAGCCGGATGTCAAACACAGCCGTGTCCGCAGCTCCCAGGGGCACCAGCTTCACGCACATGCGCTTCTTCTTGGACACAGAGGCCTCTGGGGTGGGAGAGGGAGACGGGCAGGGGAGGGGATGCCCAAAGATGGCTCCAGGACGGTGCTCGCCAGGGCGAAGCCACATGGATGGCATTAGGAGGGTGATTAGATCATGAGTGGCTTAGACTCAGGAGGGGACTCCCTGCAACCTCAAGGAGCCGCTGGAACAGGCTGATCTTTTGATGACATGAAGGACCACGGATGGGTGGTTCAGCTGTGGAGGCAGAGAGAGCTGGGGGCCCATCCTCGCCTGCCAGCCGCCCTTTCCCGCAGTCCTCTAAGCCAGAAGGCGGCAAACTCCCGCCCATGAGCCAAATCAAGCCTGTTTTTGTACACCTCATGAACTAAGAGTTTTACTTCTTCTAGAGATCAGGTCTGGCTCTGTGGCCCAGGCTGGAGCACAGAGGCGCAATCATAGCTCACTGCAGCCTTGGCCCCCTGGGCTCAAGTGATCCTCCCGCCTTGGTCTCCTGAGTAGCTGAGACTACAGGCACCACCACACCTGGCTAACTTTCAATTTTTTGCAGTCGGGGTCTTGCTATATTGCCCAGGCTGTCCTGAAGCAATCTCCTACCTCAGCCTCTCGCAGCGCTGGACTTACAGGTGTGCACCACCACATTGGACAATTTGTATACTGGTAAGGAGTTATAAAAAAGAACACGCAACAGACGCCACCCAGCCCAAGAAGCCTAAAACCCTTATTGGCTGGCCCTTCACACACAGCCTGCTACCTCCAGCATCAACAAACACACCCTGAGAGGCAAATGAATGACAAGAACGCTGGGACTCCGTGGCCAGGGCGGGGAGGGCCGCCCCAGGACCCCGGGACCCGAGGAGGCTAGGAAGGGCAAAGCAGAGGCTCAAGCGGGACGAGGAGCAGGTGGCGCAGAGAGGAGGAAGAGGGCTCCTGGCAGAGGAGGCTGCGGCCAAAGGCCTGAGAGGAGAGAGAACTGCAGGTGGCTCTGCTTGGGGTAGGGGACAGAAGCGCAGCGGCAGTGACAAGTCGGCGCTTGGGCTGGGTCCCTGCTCCAAGACCTAGACGGGCGTCCCACACTGAACTCACTTCGAGGTGTTGCTCCGCCCTGGAACAGGGCTCAGTCAGCCCTGTCACCACCTGCTGTGCCGATGCCACATTTAATTCAGGACAGGGAGGGCGACGTCCAGGCCTGTCACCACTTGCTGTGCTGATCCCACACTTAGCTCCGGTCGGAGACGCTGCCCTCCCCGGGAACAGGGCTCAGCCGGCCCTGTCACCACCTGCCGTGCTGACATCTAACTCAGGACGGCAAGGGCGAGCCTGGCCCCGCCACCACCTGCTGTCTGATCCCGCACTTGACTCAGGACGGGGAGGTCGCCCTGCCCGGGAACAGGGCTCAGCCGGCCTCG